AAAAAAAAAAAGTTTACTTTCTGCATAAACTCTACTGTGTGCTAGTGGTTATCACTATTTAAATTTAGTAAGTTAACTGATAGTTGTTTAAGTGATGTGCCAAATTAAATAAATCCAGAAAAAGGAAAATTCTTTCTTAGGGTTTAAGTTTAGATGGAATAAGTTGTTAATTTGAAAATAGTGAATGCCCAATAGTGTTTTATCCAATTGTTTAATTGGGATAGTAAAAGTTTTCCAGGAGCAATTTCCCCAAAGTTCTGAAGAGAAATGCTTTTATTGTGTACATTTATAAGCCTTCAATCTATGCAAAAAAAGATATAATAGAACTATGAATGAAATTTTTTCTTTGTTGAAAGTACTCAGCATTTTGTTGCAATTAAAATAATACAAAGTTATTTTAATACCAAGTAATGTCAAATATTCTCATTCTTTTGCCATACCTTCTTTGTACAAATTCATACATTATAGTGCTCAATATTTACTTCAACTTCATTGTTGCATACATAAATGATAAAATAAGACCCATTGACTCTGTTTAACATAGCTCGTTAGTCATAGAGTGAAGTTAAATTACACTGTGGAACTCATAGTAAATATTATGTATTGACATGCATATCACCTGCTGAAAAAAATTATACTCAACATAAGTTAAAAAAGAATTTAAATGTTCCTTAGAGTAAGATTTTTCTAAATATACTCCAAGTTAATTTTGCCTTATTGTAAAAGAAAGCAATATGTTTGAAGATGTTATGATATAACTAAGGATTTCATATAAATAGATTTGACCTGAACATTTATTTCATAATTCTATAGCAACAAATACCATAGCCCAACATAATAACTATATAGTAGCTTTATTGAGATTTAATTTACGTACTATATAATGCACCCATTTAAAGTACTAAAATTATGCTCACAGAATTTTTCAACCGTCACCACTATCTGATACCAGAACTCCATAAATGGTCACTCTACTCTTTAGCAGTCACCCAGAATTCCTTCCAGCCCTTTCAGTCTTAGGTACCACTGAACTACTTCTGTTGGTATAGATTTGCCTATTCTGGATATTTTATATTAATGGAATCATATAGGATGTGTGGCTTGTGTTTGGGTCTTTACTTGGTATGATGTTTTCAAGATCTGTATGTATTATAATATGTACTTCATTCCTTTTTATTTATGCAACTGAGTAATATTGTATTGCATGGATATGTAACATTTCATTTTTCCATACTTCAAATAATGGGTTTTTTTTATTAAATCAAAGCTGTGTACATTAATGCAATCATGGGGCACAATGTGCTGGTTTTATATACAATTTGAATTGCTTTCATCAAACTGATCAACATAGCCTTCACAAAAGATGTTACTGTTAACTTTTGTATAAAGGTTTTTGGGTGGACATGTGCTTTCATTTTTCTTGGATGTAAGGAATGGAATTACTACTCCACATGACCCCTATGTTTAGCTTTAGGAATCATCAAAATGCAGCAACATTTGATTCCTACCAGCAGTGGATCAGGGTTCTACTTTATTCACATTCTCAGCAATCTTGTTATTATCTGCATTTTTGATGATGCAACTCCTAGTAGGTGCAAAGTGGTATCTCCATGTGACTTTGATTTGCATTTCACTGATGGCTAATAATACTGAGGACCATTTCAAATGTTCATTGGTTAATTATGTGTCTTCTGTGAAGAAACACCAACTCAAATCCTTTGCCCTTTTAAATTGTTTTTGCCTTTGATTTCTGAGCTGTAGAGTTCTTTATATATTCTACATGGAAGAACCTTCCCGGATATATACTACCATCACCAGAATATAAATAATCAGGAGATAATTTAGCATTTAAAAAATATGTTATTGGAAAATTGACAAAGTAACTTGTATTAAATCCTCTGTGTTATGTGTCCATTAATATTTTATAATTTTATTTTTAATTACTAAATAATTTTACATATTCATAGGCACATAGAAATGTTTTTGACATATAATATGTAGTGATCAGATCAGGGTAATTAGCATACTCAACATATGCATTAATTTAATATATAGCCTATATTCTTTCATTAACAGAATGCTCATAATTTTACCTTTGAACATCAGCAAAAATTAAAGAGGTCAAATACATTAATTGAATAATTAGAGAACAAGTTTGTGAGTTGAATTAGGTAATATAATGAGAAAAAAATGTTGACTAGTCTAGGAATTGCTTTATATGAGCACTATCAAACCACTAATTGAAACAGTGCTATAAAATGATACTCAAATTTCTCAAAGGATGAGAAAAATATTAACACTTTGCTCTATAATAAATGTTGACTTTGATTAAAAATAATTGACATTCACAAACTATTATGTACTCTATTAGTCGATATAAAGTGAAAAAAGACAATGAAACTTTAGCACAGAAATACATATAGTCTAAAACCTGAAATAACTTCATTTTAGCATATGTTTTCAAAATAAAGTATTATATAGATTATAGATACCTAAAGAAAATAATAAATGTAAGTTCTGAAACAAATGAGAGTGATATATCCAGAGGTGGAGATCAAAAGGTCACCTTTTTTACTGGTTTAGATCATAGTAAAATGGATTTCTTAATTCTGCTTCTGAATTAGAGTGACTTACGTACTCAGTATCTATTTCTTCTTAATTCTTGCATTCTAGCATGTGGAAATGGGACACAAATTGAAGGCATATGTTGCAGATTAATTGCCTACTCTTTGACTTATAATTGATAAATGATATACATCATATACATATTTAAAGTCTGTCTTGTCTTTGGGGATCTCTTTAGCAACCTAGCCAACACTGTGCCCTTTATAACTCTGAAGGCTGATTAAAACTCTTATAATTTTACATTTTCCTTTCCTATATGTTATAAACACAAAGTCTGATAATTAAGTTGGCAAACTCATCCTGGAAAAAGTGCTGCATATCTCATTGCTGAATATCACCACTTCCCTTGGGAAGTGATGCACCAACACCAGGGGTTAGTCCACCCTTCAGAATAATTTTGGAATTCTTTTACTGTATTGACTACAAGAGCTGTCCTCATACAATGTCTGATAGTTAAATTTGTGGACTTGCCACCATGTGCTCATGTTGGCAGCATTGTACAAAAAACTGAGTAAGGTTTCATAACTTTGGTAAATCTGTCACAGCCATGTTCACATCAACTTGTGATGGTGTCTTGCCGAGAGGCAATCATTCTTCTTGAATGTTTTTGTGTGTCATATGAGGACTGTGCTGATGGTGCATATTTTCTCAAAGGGAGTATTTCAAAGGTGATCATAGTGATGATAATCATGAATGAGGAATGTAAGCACATTATCTAGGTTGACTTCACAAACTTAACTGTCAGACGTTTGTCTGTTCATTCCAGTTATGGTGGATCTTCAGTCATCAAGTAACTTTTAAATGACTTCAAACAGCAGTGCACCTTTATTGATTTTGATTCTTTATTCTATATTTTAATGTTTCACGTTTTTTATGTTCAATTTTTAGATGTACTTTATATAAATGTGAGTGTCCCGTGTTTCTTGGAAGCAAAATTTTTATTTGTAATTAAATTTGCTTTTAGTTTTGTTATTTTTCTTAAAAATGCAATCGTAAGTTTATTCTTCAAACAAAAATTTCTGTAGGCTGTTGAACATGGACTATGATGATTTCTATAGGAAATGTCAAAATATCAGGCCAGTTCACAAACATTCCATTAATCTATCTTGATGATATTTTACCTTTACCAAAATTTGAAAATTTTTGCAATTCATTTTTTTACTTTTAATTTACTTTTATAAAAATAATTAGTCCTATCCAAGTAATACTGTTTATATCTCAGTGATAATCAAGGGAAAAGAAAAAGAGAATTGATGTAGAATATTGCAAAGTTAGAGTTTATGTAGCTTGACCCTTGATTAAATATGAGTGTAGAAGAGAGAAAAATAAAGAAATCTTTTCATGTTTGAATCTGTACAGTAGAAAATTATAAAATGCATAGTTTGCAGATGGCAGGATAAATTTGTTATCGGATATCTTTTCTTCCTAATCAGATGTAATTGGTGGTGGGAATTCCTGCCACTCTTGGTTTCTGAGGAGGGACGGTGCTAATCATTAGGCTCACAGAAGTGAAAGTAGAAATAGCGGGAATTTGGAAGAAATGACAATTTAA